GCCCCGAAACCGAACTGGGGGGGGGGGGAACGACTGACACAGTCTCGCCCTGATCTACCCCACAGCTGGAGGGGGAGGAAGGCCATGCCCACCACCTTCTGCTCACCAGAAGAAAAGCAGGTTCAAAACATAAGAGATAGACAGCTATAAACATAGACAGAGCCCCCCCCCCCCGGGCGCAAAGCCAGCCTGTCTCTGAATACCAGATACCGACTGGAATAGGCAGGAGCAGGAGAGGGTGGGCCCCACGGCATGCTTCCCCGTGGCATCTCCGTGGCCTTTGCTGGAAACCAGCTGTGGGTCTGACCCTGCCTGGCCTGACTGTGTGATCTGACCGGCTCTGTCCGGTATGAAAATTCTTCCCAGGCTGGCACTTGCCAACCCAATACCACGTATTTCCCCTTTTCAAATCCCATGCCAAGGTGGCGATCCCAACAGGTTTCCCTCGGGGCCCCATCCCTCACCCAGCCTGTGGCTTGGTCCAACAGGCTTCATGGATAATTGCTGGTCTAAACCGTGTCCCCAATCAAGGTTTGACATTTGAGGTTTTAATTTTAATTTTTTTAAGAAAAAGCTACTGCATACTCTGGGATCCTAGACTTTAGCACAAGCTACTGCAGAAAAGGTGGAATAGAACACGAAGAACTTTCTGACTCAACAAAGTACTAAAGTGAATTAACAAAGGTGAAGAAACAATAGCACACATAAACATTTCTTGAAGGAAGCAAGACCACTTGGCCAGGCCGGTAGAAAGGAAAAGTACAGGCTGTTACAGCTGATCGTTCCAGGTTTTAAAAAATCAGTGTGGAAGGACGAGTGAGAGGGAACAGAACCGATCGGCTGCGAAATGTGGTTTTGATGCAGCAAAACGTCAATCTAGGAAAAGTACAGGCTGTTACAGCTGATCATTCCAGGTTAAAAAAATCAGTGTGAGAGGGAACAGAACTGATCGGCTGCAAAATGTGGTTTTGATGCAGCAAAATGTCAATCTGTAGAGCAGTCGTGTTCACAGTTACAACAGCTACCATGAAACTACCCCCCCATGCACACGCACACACACACACAACACACACACACCCAGATAGGAAAAAATATTTCAAAATGAATCGTTTCACCCAGAAATGATCTGTTCTGATTTCAATCCCAGTTGGATTTAAACCTTATATGGAGGCCAGACATAAAACTGTATCTGAAGAGGCCGTACCAGCAATACCATTTCAAATCATTCACATATTTCCAGAGGATGATGTTCTAAATCTTTACTGGAGGAAAGAGGCTATATTTGCTTGTCATGCATGGCGTAATTTGCACCCGGGCTCCCACTGGCTCAGGCTCGGCATCTTCCCCAGAGGCCAAGACTTGATTTTGACACAAGAAAAGCAGGTCCGGACGGAGGCAGAATGGATTCTGTTTAATGCTGAACCACAGAGAGATTTCATGCCTCAGAAAGGAAAGGAAAGGCTTCTGGATCAGAGGAGGATGCTTCCAGACAGATTTTAGCCCCAGCACCTCTTTGCCTAAAATGAAGTACTGTACTCTCTGGGTGGAACAGCAGAAACACCACAGGGTCAAAATCATTCTGGACGTCCCTCCGGTCTGATTCTAATCCCCCTTCATGTAAGAGGCAACTTTCGGTTTTTCCTTTTTTTCCTTCTCCTCCCCCCTTCCTGTTAACACAGAATTCCCCTGATCTGCCCTCTGGAAAATTTAAATCTCTCAGCGAGTACATCAGCAACACACACCCTAGAGCCAATCCAAAAACTGCAGGCGTGAATCAGAGCCTCCGTCTGGCGTGCGTCTCCAGAATGGGTGAGAGCAAACAGGAACATGAGGTACAACCCAGACTTTGGCCAAAAATGGAAGTAATCTTCCCGGCCCCTGCCTCCCCAAGGCCCCTCCCCACATTTTTCCTGCACATCTCAGCACACTGGGCTGCTTTGCACAGCATTAAGATAAAGGAAGGCGAGCAGCCCTTCAGAACGGGCGGCTGCTGATTTCAGCAGGCACAGTGGTGTCAGGACATCGGGAGGGAGGAGGACGATGGCCAGTTCCTCTCCCATTGTTTTCCCTCCGTGGGCTTAAGCCTGTGCATCATTGTACCATAAACCTAGACAAGAAAAGCACCATCTTCCCATTCATTAGAAACAGGGAGACACACATTCCTGCTGTGCCCCAAGTAGTGGCATAGGTGGGGCACGCCTCGCGCCACTTGGAGCTAACACCTGTACAACAGCACGCACACACACACACACACCCAGCAGAAAATGCAAACAAGAAAACAGAAGAAGAAGCAAGCGCTGTAATTAAATGGCTGAGCTTATAGGTGGATCTCCCAGAGATTTCCTCCAAGTATCATTTGCAGAAGGAAATTTAAGGCAAACACAGAACATCGCCGATCCTTTCTCAGTCTCTAGAAGTCCACTCCCCAGGAAGACTCATCTAAGGAGCAATTTAGAGATGCAACCTAAACCTGGCTAAACAGCGAGATGCTGCTAAGCCTCTTCATTGCTGCCTCCGGGGCCGTCCCTCTGATTGTCCTCAGGCAGGGTGGCCTCCTTCCCACTCCTACAAGGGTTAATGCAAGCAAACATCCTTGTGTGGTTACTCACCAAATGCACTCGAGAGCTCCTTTCCACGGGGACTCTGTGCTGGTGGTGCCTTTGGTATAAATACCAGTGAGACTATAAAACCTCAGAGGCGGATCTCCCCAAACCGAGACCCTAAAAAGGCTAACGGATAGTATGTTAGCCATATAAGGTGTTTTATTTCATTATATTGACCTTGGGCTGGTGGTAGAACAGAGCTTTGTGAATTATGATTGTAAGAAAAATGTATGCAGGAAAAAAAGTTGGAAAGCCCTGCCTCAGTTTGTGGATCCGTTCCTTTTATGTTTTACTTTCATAAACAAGACAGGGGCAAGTCCTTATAAGCTGCATCGGGAGAGGAAGTACCGGCAGCTGCAATCCAGGAGGTGAGAAAGTTACCAAGAATGGCCAGCACTGGCCTAAGAACCCACTGGCTTCCCAGAGAGGAAATCCAGAAAGCCTCCCTCTTGCCACTGCTGGTTATGATGGAGAAGAGGAAGACCAAACACGAGATGGACTCGCTCCCTCAAGGAAGCCACAGGCTTGGGTTTACAAGTGCTGTTAAGGACAGGGCATCCCGGGGATCGGGTCACCCATAGGGTCGCCCTACGCTGGGGGCAACTTGACAGCACCCTGGAAGATCCATCCATGACCTTCTAGTGAAAATGAAGGAGGTTTTTTAAAAATTCTCTTGCACATTTCCTGTTGGCTTCCATGAGGTGGGTAGAGAAGCCCACAGGGGATCGGGCCCTATGAGTCAACCCTGTCTCCTCCTCCTCCTCACTCTAACACACTGCTTGTAATGGCACCCAAAGTAACTCTCACACCCTTTAGAAATATTGTGGCTTTTAGTGACATTTGGATGAGATACAAGTTCAAACCCTCTGCTTCTAGAACCACAACCTCTTAAATGAGGCCAGAAGGGAATGGGAGGGACAAGGGAAAAACAAAGGGAGAAAGGTGGTGGAGGGTGGGAGAAAAGGGGACCCCGGAAAGGGCAGGAAGGAGCATTCCATCCTCTCCCCCCCCCGCAACTGGTGGCAGTGCTGTTCAGACCAGAAGACCACACGAGGCATCCAGGCTGCAGGTTAGAAATCACAAGAACTCTCCCCAAAAGTTTGGTTTGCTGTTTTGTTCTTCTTACACACTTCAAAACCTGGCAGTGTTTTTCTTACACACGCTGCAGAAGAGGCTAGCGCTCCTGCGTCTTTGAAAAGGACACGATGACTTCTACCTAAGGTTTGATTTTAGGAGCAAATGTTCAAACCCACGCCAGTTTCCAGTGCTGAAGGACAGCTGGTTGTTTTTTGTATGCGGGGACTTTTTCATAAGCTGAAGATCCTCAGATATTTATCCATTATCTTGCAAAGTTCTGTTTCACGCTTCGGTATTATTATTCCCAGTATGAAAGACAATCAAGAACCAAAACCACAAAGCAATAAAGCAATCCAACCCTGGCACAGAAGTTGAGCAGCGGCATGCAAACCGCCTTTGGTGGAAAGAGGAGGGTGGGAGGACCTGAGAGAATAAAAAAGCTCTCTCTCTAATCAGCGCTTCCTTTCCCCACAAGGTGCTGTGCCTTGTCTCCTCACGTGTAAGGCCTCAGGGAGCCCCAAATGACAAAGCAGCAAGGGGCGAGGGGTGGGATATCCCGGAATGACCTGGAGGTATAAGTGGGTCTCTGGTGGAGAAAGCACATCCTCCAGCCCAGCGGATACGAAGCCCTGGAAGGCCCTCCAGAGAAGCAGAAGCACCAGCCGCCAGGGATGTGTGGCCACGGACTGAGAGCCAGGCAGGATTGGGCCAGTCCTCACAAGAGAGCCTCCCATTAGCTGGTCTCTTGTGAGCCGCCTGAGGGCCCTCTTTTGAACGAAGCAGAGTCTCTAGGCAGCCTTCAACGGCAGCCCCCCACAGGACAAGTTACAGTAGTCAACTCAAGGGAATACATTCCCTCAACCATCAGCCACTCTGGGCTGTCCTGGCTCCCAGGCCACCTTCTCTTGACGGCCACTGCTGATGGGGGGCTTGGGGCTAATTCACAAAAGGAGAAGAATTTGGCCACAAGGCTGCGCCTTTCCACGGCGGCCCCAAGCAACGCACTTCACTGGAACCGTGGCTCGGGCAACTCAAGGGAATACATTCCCTCAACCATCTTCCACTCTGGGCTGTCCTGGCTTCCAGGCCACCTTCTCTTGACGGCCACTGCCAATGGGGGGCTTGGGGCTAATTCACAAGAGGAGAAGAATTCGGCCACAAGGCTGCACCTTTCCGTGGCGCCCCCAAGCAACGCACTTCACTGGAATATTGTTTGTTAACCCAATGTGGCATAGACTGGTTTGTCATTCTAACGTGCAGCCCCTCGCCTGCAACTGAAACAGGACAGTGGCAGGAACACCTCCATGGCCCACCGGGTTGCAGGCATCAAGGGAACCACAAAGGAAAATGAAACAGACCTGTGACAGAGACAAAGTGCAGTGTTTTTGACCAGACAGAGTCTCTGGGCCGCAATCGTGCAGAGCGTGTGTCCGCAGAGGTGCCACACAAACTGCATTCGGAAGTTAGAATCTGTTGCAAACGGTGCTCTGAACGGCCCTAAGCCCGACCCTGGACTTCCTCGCAACCTCTTTGAGGCCCGAGAGCGCGTCCGCAGGGAACGCGTGACGGCTGGCAAACAGGCCACACCGTTGTGTGAAGTGTGTGACCAGAGGGTGGGGTTAGGGTTTGGCTGTGTGTGTCTGCACAGTTCTATCCCACACCATGGGGCTGACATGGGCGACTCTTTCTGAAGAGTAGCCAATGCAACAAATATTTAAATATAGAATATTGTCTGTTAACCAAATGTGCCATAGACTGGTTTGTCATTCTCTTACTGCAAGGACATCCCGGTTTCGTGAGATGGGACCTTTGGCATTCTCACTGAACTAGGTGTCCCAGAATGGTTTGAGGGAAACCTTGCCATTCACATGCACACGCATGTCACGTGTCCCAGAATGGTTTGAGGGAAACCTTGCACACGCATGTCAGCGGAGGTGGAGGGCACTCTAGGCCAGAGGTAGATCAAGGATTAAAGGGGAGGCGGGGAGAAACTCTGGCTGATTTGCATTCACTTGTATGCCATGCGGTCAACAGAAAGCAATGTGAATCTGGCCACCCCAATCGGGGAGAATTTCCTGCCTTATTTGTCATTGAAGCTGCCGCCTCAGTCTCTCTTCACTGGAGAGGGCTTTCCTCAAGACACACCCACACCCACACCCCGCAATGCATTCTGATGCAGGAGTGGCCGGTCTTCTTTCCTCTTGGGCATCAGGCAAGAGGGACCCTCCGCTCCCCGATTCAGCCTCTCCTTGCCGACTGATGTCTCTGGCTGAACTTGGGAACGGCCTTTCCCAAGACGTTGGACCGGTTGTTCACGAGGGTTCCTGTTAAATGCCTGGAGCCTTGGTTTTCCACCAACTTGATGTGCAGGAAAGCACAGACCAGACTCCACACGGCCCTTCATCTATTGGGGTCTTATCCGGCATCAGTCGTCACACCAAGATCCTTCTGGGCGGTCACGTTCACTCAGAAGTTATCAACCCCCTGGAACGCAGCTCGCCCGCTGCCCGCATGAGAGGCTGTCTCCTTCTAGCCTCTCCTGATTTCTTCTGTGTCACTTGGACATTGGTGATTCATTGCCCCTCTATTATTTTTACTTTATTTTTAATTGCACAATAAATACTACATTTTAAAAGGAAAGCTCCAGTGACTGTTTGGTGTTTCTGACAGCCCTTTAGTCATTTTCATGTCTTTTGACTGGAGCGGTGCGTCACAATGTTCACTGTCTCTAGTATGTACTGTTACTAGGAAGGAAGGAAGGAAGGGAGGGAGGAAGGAAGGAAGGGAGGGAGGAAGGAAGGAAGGGAGGGAGGAAGGAAGGAAGGGAGGGAGGAAGGAAGGAAGGGAGGGAGGAAGGAAGGAAGGGAGGGAGGAAGGAAGGAAGGGAGGGAGGAAGGAAGGAAGGGAGGGAGGAAGGAAGGAAGGGAGGGAGGAAGGAAGGAAGGGAGGGAGGAAGGAAGGAAGGGAGGGAGGAAGGAAGGAAGGGAGGGAGGAAGGAAGGAAGGGAGGGAGGAAGGAAGGAAGGGAGGGAGGAAGGAAGGAAGGAAGGAAGGAAGGTCTTGCAGAAGGCCCTCAGCACCTGTTTGGGCTTCCCTTCTGGCTCGGGCATGGGGACGGAGGGTGGCCGAGGCACCAGAGCCCTCTTTCCGAGTGCGGGGCCCCACCCAGAATCGGGCCGCCTGATGGCAGGGCTCCTTCTTAGGAGGGTCCTCTCTTTTTTTCGGCGAACTGCTGCCACAGCCTTTTCTCAAGCACAGCAGCTTCTTCTCCACCAGCTGCGATGATGACCGCAATCCTTCGCAGCCTAAGAATGAACAGCAGTTGCCTCTGAGGACCCAACCAGAGGCTGAGAAACTCCCCATTGCCTTTTTAAGGGAAATCAGCCGTACACAATCACAAGGCAGGGGCTCCTCGGAGGGAGCAGCAGCAAGGAAGGAGGGAGGCTGAAGCTGGCAGCGTTGGGAATGGGAGAGGGTCGGGGGGGGGGCTGTTCTTTAATTCTGTGCCTTTAATTCTGAAGGGTTAAAAAAAAACACCCAGGAGGTGATTTCCGTTACATGCCAAGAGCCGGTCAGTACACCTCTGAGCAAACCACCCTCTTTCATTCTGCACCCTGGAGATTGATTCCAGTCCCCAGCAGAATCGGGCTCCCCAGGGCCACAAGGTCTGCCGTTCAACTATGGCCACCTCATTGGACACACAGACCAGTTGCAAAAAAGAGGGGATTAAAAGCGAAAAGAGCAGAGGTTCCCTCACTTCACCCTCTTGTGCCTCCAAATAAAAAGTCCTCTGACTCATCCGGGTGCTTTTAAAGGCTCCCACCAAGCCTGTGGCTCTCTTCCTCGCGCTCTCTGCCAAAAAAGAAGCTATGGATTGAACGGAGAACAACGGAAGCCTGACCAATGGCATTTATTTATTAAATCATAAAAACTGATGGGAGTTTTTTCCTGTCCGTTGCTTCAGTTTTGAAACTCGACACTCCGTTGACTCAACGAAATGCACAAAGAGGCAACAAGCCTGCTGAGGATTCCTCTGCCTCTCCTCGAGCGCTCCGTGGTCTTTCATTGTGCAGCCCTCTGCCATCTCCCGAATGAAGAGCAGAGCAGGATTTCTCCTTTATTGCTCCAGATCAACGAGAGCCATGGGATTGCCCTGTGTTACGAGGGCAGCCCCAAAATGAACCTCATCGGCTGCAGGGCCTGGAAACCGCAAGTCCCGCCCATGGCATTTCTATAAGCTCTCCATAGGGGGGCTTTCGCTTCCATTAAAAAAGGCCAAGGGGTGAGGGACCAGACTACCCTCGCCACCTACGAGCCCCCGCCAGTCTTACAAAGCGCATTCGCATCTCCTTTCTCCCAAGGCCCCAAATTTATCCAAAAGACAAAAGAGTCTGTCATGCGTCGCCAAGTCAGAACCATCGTACAGTGACCCTAACAGGGCTTTCTTGGAAAGTGAGATCTTTAAGGAGTGGTTTTACCCGTCCCACTCCCCCAGTCAGCTTCCACGGGCAAGTGGGGATGGGAACTCTCTTCTCCAGAGTCCGAGTCCATCGCTTCACTCACGATCCCACACTGGGTACCAAAAGGCAAAACAGCAGGGACTGCTTCTCACAAGACAAGGGCCGTTGAGGGAAATAGAAGAGGAGCCGAACACGGTCACTGGCCAAGGACGAAGGGAGCACCTGTCCTGCACAGCCAGATCCCAAACGCAGACCAACACGCCGGCCGGCGCCCTGTGCCGGGGAGGCCTGGTCTTCGACTCAGCCCAGCCCGCTACCCGCTCTCTTTCACACGCCCCAGACTAAATCCAGAGAAGAACTTCCCTCTTCTCTCTGGGCTGAAGCTTTGCTGCAAAGATTTTCCCTTGGCAGAGCCCTAGAAATGCATCTGTCACAACGGGCGCAAACGGAGTCCAAGAATGAGGTCACCAAAGAGGAAAGAGTGGCCATATATGACGGTGGAGGTGGAGAGGAGGCGCGCCACCCAGGCACACACGAGAGACAGAGAGGGCGGCTGCTGGTGGGGAAACAGGCTGTGGCCAAGTCCTGGTTTTCACTAAAAGGCAGCACCCATGGGGATCTTTAAGAGCAGGCTGGTGGCAGAAGCAGGCCCTGGTTCAAGGGAAAAGGCTCTGAGCTGGTCTCCCCTGGTCCCCAAGGAGCCGCAGCCTGCCCAGCAGGTGCACGCCAGTAAACCCCACCAAAGGCAAGACTCACCCAGAGGAGGGCCTGGCCCTTGGTGATTTATGGGGCATAACTATCCCAGCGGGCGGAGACTGGCAGGGACGAAGAGCTGGCGCCATCTTCCCCTGACCCACAAGATTCTGGACAAGGAGACTCATCAGGCAACTACTGGCCACTGAGGACTCAAAACCACCTCTGGACCCCACCGGGGGTGGGCGGGAGCAGCAACATCAGTACCAGCCAGAAGCCGAAGGTCATGGGCCCTGTTTCTGTGGGGAGAACTGCAGGCGGGACCTTAGTTCGTCCGGTCTGCCGCAAGGCTGAGGCACGGAAGGCAACAGAAGCCTGGAACTTGCCATGTGTGGATCAGGTGGGGAAAATCCCGCGCCACAGCAGGAGAAATGACACGGATGAACATCATTCAGACCTTTGGAGAAAGTTCCTTGGCCAGGGGCACAAAACAGAGACCGAGTAGACATGGTCTAGAGGGGCGGGGTAAAAATCAAATAAATAAACAAATAAATAAATAAATAGAAGTGTCCGATTCTTCCCCAAGGGATGAGGCTCCTAATGCCTGTTTTGGGGCACTGGATCCTCTTGGCTTCTGACAAGGGATCACCTGTGACAAATATGAAGTGAAACGCATTTTGTGTGGGATGGGGGCACCCTCAGCAACATGGAGGCCCCCCCCGGCCCAAAAGCCACCCCGAGGCACAGGCTCTGAATGAAAGGGACCTCCTGCCGAGGGCTGAGCAGGGAAGGAGGCCCGAGGAGGAGCGGCCATGGGGCCACCCTCCCAGACTTCCCGGGCCCTCCCACTGTCAGTGGCACAGCCTAATAAGGAAGCCCTGGGCCCAGGCAACCAATGGGGCGCCCAGCCCCACTGCCAGGCCATAGAGCATCTCCCTCGGCTGCCAGAATGGAATGCTGCTACCCCTTGACACAGAACAGGCCCAGAGGAGGAGGAGCGTCAGCCGAGGCATCCCAGGCAGCTCCTGGCACAGTCAGCCAGCAGCCTTCCTGGACGGGGCCTTTTCCTCTCCTAGCCACCCCACACATACACACAGAGGAGAGAGAGAGAGGAGCACACCCATTGTGCAGAAGCAGCCGAGGGAGTCAGCTGCTGCACAAAGGACCCAGGACAGCTGCAGGCAATGCCTGTCCTCCTTCCAGGGGGACGACCACTGGCCGAAGCCTTCCCCTGCATCCCAAGGAAGTCCGGCTCTCCTCTGTGGAGAGGAGCGCTGGACCCGACAGGCCCGACGGGTGTGTCTGCGCAACCACCGCTGGGCCCGACTGCAAGGGCCCGAGCCATGGAATCCTGGGATCTGTAGTTTGGCGAGGGGCCAAACGGTCCGTTGCCTTCTCCACCCTGGCCAGGTTCAGGGCGGGTCCCTAGCAGGGAATTCTAGCTCTGCGCCAAGCAGGGGTCACACGGCCACAGCTGTGCAACCTTATGACCCTCTGTGCAAGCCCCGGGCCAGACGCAGGCCTGCTACAAATCAAGGACGCTCGTGGCAAATATGCTATAACATACTTGAGGCTCCCCTTTAGCTGCCTCTTGTGTGAGAAGATCAGTCATTACAGGCAAACATTTGGGCAGTGTGTGTGTGTGGGGGGTGAAACTCGCTTGCTCCACTACCTTCCTCCCTAGGAACCTCCAGGAACTGGGACCTGCCAGTCTTCACCAGAAGAGAGAGCGAGAGCCACAGACTGCCCGTCTATGCTGGGATTCCCAGGCCTCCCTCCCTCTCCTCAACTCCAACACCAGCGGCCTGAGCGCCCCCTGAAGTGGGGCCAGGATGCCCTCCGGCATGACTGTGGTCCCTGAGGGAAAACAGCCCCTGGCATTTATCTCACAGTAGCTTTTCACGAGACCCACGGCGTCAGAATAATGCACTTATACAGAATGGTGCAACGGCCAACGGATTCAGAAACCCCGTGGCAAGTACGACCAAGCTGTATTCAACTGCATAACATTGGTTTTGACCCCTCTTACGCGGTGAGCAGCTCAGGGGAAGGTCTTGCACGGAGAGCGCACAACGCCCTGTTTGTGAGGACCCACGCGAGTTCACTTCCAAGGCCAGAAGAACCAAATTCTTTTAATGTCTGAACAAAAACAAATTTAAAATGTGATACATACTCTCAAATGGCAACATCCCAACCAGCCCCATTGCAGAAACATCAGGGAGGGAGAGAGGAGAGGGTGAGGAATCCCTGCCACTTCCTTCTCCTTCAGCAGGAAGATGCCCCAGTATGAGTAAAGGGAGAGACTGGGCAGGGGGAAAGATCCCAGCTGGCAGCTGGCATCATCAAGACATCATCAGCATTCCCTTGCACATGGTGTCCTCCTAGAACCTGACTTTGGTTTGTCCTCGGATGCGAACCCTCCACAAGCAGCGTTCGCCCGACCGGCAAGATTCTGACATGGCCTAGGCTTGAAACGATGCGCAGGCTGCAAGCATGGGTTTCTTCCTCAGCTCAGAGACCAGCTCCCTGTCCAGCCAGCAGCTGCCGAAGGCAAAGAAGATTGTGGGTGGGGGGGGGGGGTTGACTCCGCCACTCGCCATTCACCCGACCTATCCCTCCTCCACCAAAGTGCAGGGACAGGAACGGCACCTAGTGTTTCCTGTTACACCCTCAGGTGTCCTATCCAAAGACCGAGGCAGGGGCCTTGCAGCCAACATGTCAAGCTTGCCAAAAACCACATACACACATACACACCCCACAATGACAAACAGAAACACACCTTCCGAACCGCTCAACGTCATTCCCAGGTGCGGTTCCAGGAGTCTCTTTGACCACAGAGTGGAAGGAGCTCACCTCTCTTTCTTATCGGGAAACAAGAGAGCCTACAAAAGCCCATACCTGTTATGTCCCTTTGTACACGTAGAGAGAAGTCCTGGTGTCCATTGAACAACTTGTAAGGCTATTAAATGGAACACCAATGTGCCCATCACGACGTCTAGACTTCTAAGCGCAGCTTCAACCGTGTAGTGTTAAGTCAGAGATGGCCAACTTGCCATCCTTTAGGTAAGACTGTCCTCTTGTTGTCTTAGATACAACAACTCTCAGCAGCTCTAGGCAGTTTGACCAGCAGGGAGGGACCGTCGGCCACACCTGGCCGTCTGCAGGTTGCCCCACCTTGGACAAAGGGAACATGGAACTTCATTCCTCAAATGGAGTTGGATAACTGAGTACACTATTCTTAGTGGCACTTGCTTCAACTGAATGTTCACAACACAAACCACCTGCAGCTTCTTCCTACCTGTTTCAGGACTCCCTCGTCTTTGGATTCCCCCCCCCCTGGGTCCACCATCTGCTCCCTGGGAAAAAAAATCTGCCTCCAATGTAATTTTATCCTCCGCCAACAAAAAAGGGAAAAAACCAAACCTAACCACAACCTCATAGAAAACACCCCCGCTGTCTTCCCCCAGACTCACTTCTTCCCAAAACAGACGACACTTTCTCACTGGTCACAAAAGGCAGAATTGTTGGCACGGCACAGTGGAGCTTCAGAGCTCACACGAGGGACCGGCGGGAAGGTTTCCACCCATGTTTAAAAAGCTTTGGAGAAAAGCCCAACTGGGCCTCCTGGGGCTGCCGTCCTGCGACATGACCAGATGCTTGCAGACCGCTTCTAGAAAGCGGTGTCATTTATTTGATCCTGCACTCTCCTCCGGAGCAGGGCGTGACAGAGGTAAGCCCGAGGAGGGCCAGTGAGCCACCAAAACTAGCTGGATCAAGTCCACCACTGGGATCAGTCTATCGCTCCCCCCACCCGGCCAACTCCTTCTCCCCACCTAGATCCCTAAATTCTGACAATGGCACGGCATCAAAGAGAATGCATGATTCTTGTGGAAGGAGAGGCAAAATCTTGGAGATGATTGCATAGAGGGGGCATAGTTAGCGACCATTCGTTAGCTTAAAGGAGGGCAAGTTAAGGGTTGACCAAGGCATGGTGGCGTTGGCTTTATCGAAGGTCCAGGACCACCACTTCCTGTTCCATGACCGTCACGTGGCTGCAACTCTGAAAGACAAACAATAAGAGGAAGAGATGGTCACCAATCTTCTTTGCCTTCCAACTCTGAAAGACAAACAATAAGAGGAAGGGACGGTCACCGCAGTCCAGAGCAACCGGGGCTGTTCCAACCCACACTTCTAAGCGCCCCCTGCTGCTTACCTGTCCCTGTGGTTCTTCGAGTGGTCATCTGTGCGTTCACTACCTGTGGGTTCTGCGCCTGCACACACGGCTTCGTTCAGCTGAGCAAAGCTTTGCTGGGAAGCTCACGCAAGGGGTGCGTGTGCTCCAGGGGGCAGTTCCCACTTTCCTCCTCCGTTCCCACAGACTGCTGCAGTGGCCCAGCAAGAGGCATGAGGCCTTCGCAGAGTAAGCAGCACCTGCAGTGGGAACAGAGGGTGTTTGAAGGCACACATGACCACTCAAGGAACGACAGAGATTGCTTGGAAAAAAAACACACACAGCAACCCCCACCCCCCATTCCCAGCCATCTACACATTTCGAGTCCCCTAGGATGTTCCCTCTGGTTAGGCGAGGGGAAAGAGGCGGAACTGGAAAAGAAATGGACCGAAGCCCCAAAGCTAGGCAGTCCGCTGTGGTCGTGGGAGCTGCGGCGAGGCTCAGCCTCCAGACGGAGGTGGCAGGCTGTAGGAAGCCCCGGGACGCGCCCTGCCCCAGAGGACACCTAGCCATGGGCACCTGGACTCAGGGCCTGGACGGAACCGACGTGTCTGAAGCAGGGAGGCCACGAAGGAGGAAGGTTTGGTCCATGGGCATCCCAAGATCACCCACAGAACTCTCCCAGAGAGAGTGTGGGCTCAGCACCACCCCCACCCCCGGTCGCAAACCTCTTACTAGGGGCATCCCAGGCAGCTTTCCCTTCCCCTTTCCCTACGACAGATGACATTACGGGCAACCCTTGTCCTTAGAGGGAGCTCCAGCCTTCTCCCACAATGGCCCAGCTGCTGCTGCTGCTGCCAACACCTGGCAGCTGAGTCCCCAGGACGTGCCTGGCTCAGGCATTGCGGAGGAATCCCAGCAGGTGCCCCCTGACTCTCAGAGCAAAGCATGTTTCGTTTGCCACCCAGGCTTGTGCTGTGACCCTGGTGGGAAAAAGTCTTCCTATTTCTGACCTTTTCCCTCAGCATGAAGTGGAAGCTCCAACTTAGACAACGGAGGTGCAAAAAGACATTTCCGCCTGACCTCTCGGAACAGAGGTCAGAGCAGGAAGACCTTCCCGTCACAGCCTTGCTACTGCTGATGCAGCTGCAACTCAACACTATTAAGAGCCAGAGAAGCTCTTTCCCCTTTGCATACTTACAGTAAAAAGAGGGGGCTCTTTGGGGTGCGGGTGGAACCCTTTCTGCCGACAGGATGAAATTTCGTCCATGCCATGGTCTGTCAATTTAAAGAATCCTGTCCTAGAAAAAAAATGGCCACAAACAAAATCAGCTGAATCCAAAGCCTGCACGGAGCTCCAGGTGAACCGTCTGGGTTGCTTGGTTTTGTTAGTCTTGGGCTGGAATAATACGCATGTTTCAGACAAACAGGAAAAGCTGCACCCAGCGCTGCTGTTACGCAGCAAGAAAACGGGTCCAATGTTGAGAAGGCAGCCGGGATCTACCGTGGGGCATACTTCTGATTTGGTTTATTCTTTAATTCAGATTATGTTTCTCTCTTCCTATCCCTCATGGGCTCTCTGGCCATGACCAAGTTTCAAAGAAGGTGTTGGAAAATGAAATCAAGACAGCATTTCCTGCACAATCTAGACGCGATATGCCACCCAGTACTTACTCTTGGTACTTTGGGGAGCAAACAATAGCTATAGACTCTGGCAACATCATCTGATAGGAGCAGTGCGTGTGCAGATCCACGCTGGACAGGAATGCTGTTTGGGTGGGGTGTGTCTAAAGAATGAGGGGGGAAAGGGGAGAAAAGGTGAAACGGAGCCCAGAGAAAGTTGCATGAAAACCCAGCCCCACAGGCAGAACCCTCGAACCAACGGTGGCCCCAGGAGGGCCTGACCCCAAGGCTTACATGGATCCACCCCAGCGTTATGAGGCTGTGCTGGTCCTGGATTAGGAAAAGCTCCTCTTCATTCTCAGTGTTGCAGTAATCAGGGCCCCCGTGCTGCTTGGGGATGATGACATGGGTTATGGTGAATTCGTTCTGCATCTGCAAGGGGGTAGGGGTGGGGGTGGGGAGGGGGGGAGGCCAAAAACAGCAGGAGAGGAATCAGCACTTCCTGGACACAGAAAAGAGCAGATCTGCACAACAGCCAGGCAGCCCTGATGAGGCTGCCTGAGATGACAGGCCAACGTGTCCCAAAGAAGCCCATCCCATAATCGCTGGTCTGTTGGCCTGGAGTTCCTTGGCCGGCGAGGCTCTCTGCCTGGCTGCACCACCTACTGGGCTGGCCCCTCCCTTCCTCCAAGCAATCTGGTGCCCTTCCTGATTTCTGGAAACCCCACCGTCACCATCACCGTGACTCCCCCCCCCCTCCTCTGCTGGCTCTTTTTGCCTTAGGCCACTTCTTCTTCCGCCTGTACTTGCACCAGCCCCGGCTTTGAAGGGGCCACTTGGGGGCGCCCGGGCACTTCCGTGGGCCTTCCGAGGGATTCAGCTGCTGGCCGAGGCAGCGGGTGGGCGGCAGCCCTGCTGTGGAAGACCTGCCTTGGCCCTTTCCTCCCAATGGTCCCCACCCTTTTGACCGCACGCTACTGTGGGGAGCGCAAGCGGCAGCGGCCAGAGCCACGTCGGGGAACTCGTGTATACTTTCCAGAAGGCCTGAGAGGGAAGTGGCTTAATCATCACTCACTGTGAGGGAAAGGCAGGCCCCTGCAGCTGGAGAACAGCTGTTCCTTGGGCCTGTCTAGAACTACAAACAGGGACCAAAGCACCCACCCCACCTTCTCGAAGCAGAGGGCAGCAAGACGCTGACTCGTGAGTTTATCCAGGAAGTCACCTTACCAGCTTCCCACAAAGGATCCCACACGTCTCCACGCCCCTGGCCGTGTTGGCCTCAGCCAGCTGGAGGAATTTATGGCAGAGCTCCCGGGGGACGGTGATCTGGCGAAGTCCTTCAATAGTTGCATCTACCAAGAGAGAGAGAGAGAGAGAGAGAGAGAGAAGGCTCAGGTGAGCCAAGGCCACAAGGCCGAGGAGTGCAAGCCTCACTGGTTTCCCCTAAGGAAGATCCCATCCACAGGGACACCCCCATCCCTGCAAGATCAGCAGCCCTGTCGCCATGCCGACAGACCCCCTCGCCTGCTGTTCACCAAGAAGAGGCAATGCAAAAAAGATTGCTTTCAGAACTTCCCTGACAAGGCCAACTCCATTGACTTCGGCCAGAAAGAACGTGTGACAGGCCAACGAAGGGGAAGCAGCTATGAACCAAGAAATGTATCAGTCAGGTATGCGCTGGTCACACAAACTGTTTCTAATGTGTTTCATGCCACGGACAAAAGTCTTCTGATTAAAATTAGGAGTACCCCATCACAAAAATGTGTCACTGTGTGAGTGTCTTCTGTACCTCTTGTATCATTTTTTTTAATTCCTGAGAAAAATGGAACCATTTCAACCATGTTAAATGGGAAAAGGAGGGCCAAAAGGAAGAGCACACGGCCACAAGAAGAACCAAAAGGCTGGAGGCCGGCTCTTCTGGGCAGCCTTCTCAGATTCTGGAGGAACGGCCTCCTTTGCGCCTTGGTGACCTCACTCTCCTCTCTCTCTCTCTCTCTGGCCTCTCCAAGACAGGGAGGGCGCTGCCCTTTCCAGGGCCTTTCCGGTTCTTTCTCAGGCTGCTGTCCTTCCTGGGTGCCTCCGAGGCCGGCCCTCAAGAAGCCCCCCTGACGGCTTGCTTCTGCCGACTGAGCTGCAGCTAGGCTCCCGCAAGACGGCAGCCTCCGAGGCCCAGCAGGCAGACCTGGCCGCCCGGGAAGGGAGCGAAGGAGTGGGAGTGGGAACTTCCTGGGCTGCCCTGACCTTCAGGAGATTTATGTTTGGGGATGAACAAGAAGGTTCGGGTGGGAAAAGGGCAGCCAGAGGGCCTGAGAGAGCTCAGAGAAGAACATCGCTCAAACTGGGGGATTGTAAGGTTAGAATTGTCCATGGCCTTTCAGTGGCAGGTGGGTTTCTTTCTTGGTTGTGTGTTCTGCCTACGTGTGGAGATTTCTTCTAAGGAGGAGCCATTCTGTCAGGACGGCTCACAAACAGCCCACACAAGACGGGGGGGGAGAGGGGGGCAAAGGATTTCCAAGAGATACTAACTGTTCTCCAGGACCCCCAGCGTGGCTGGCTTCAGCGACCGGTCCACGACGGGAGGCCTCGGGGGCCCGCCCCCTCCGCTGGGGCCCCAAGGCTGGGCGGGAGCCACGAGAGTCCTTGTGTCCGTGGGCGGGGTGACCGCCCCAGGTACCAAGGGGCCCTCCAAGGCGTCCGGGGTCTGTTTCCCAAACTGCTGCAGGATCTTCAGGCGCTCCTTCTCCAGCTCCTGGCGCCGGATCATCTCTTCGAAGGCCTGGAACTGCTCCTGCTCCGCCTGCTGCTGCTTCATCAGGGCCACCCGTTGCCGCTCCTCCTCCAGCTGCTGCTGCAGCGCCAGGTGGTGGGCAAACTCCTCCTCTTGCTTCTTCTGCAAGGGGAACATCAGACAGAGACAAGGTTCCAGTCACCCTGGAGGAACCTGCGAGGCAGTCCTCGCCCCCTTCTTTCCGCAAAGGGAGGCAGGCCCTTTCCAGCACACACCACATGTGGCCTTCCTTGGCAAGGAGCCGAAAGACCTTCCTCCACTCACCTTCCGTTCATTGTACTCCGCATACTCTTTGTTGTATTTTTCTAAAAGCTCCTGTTTCAGCTCCTCTGCTTTCGGGAAGGCAACCTCCTTCAGTTTCTGGGAAGCAAAGAAAAGAGGACACCCCATCATTGTCTGGAGCAGAAGAAGGCGGAAGAGGGAGAAGAGCCATCTTTCCCTGGGAACCACCCTCAGAGCAAAAGCACAACAGCAAAACGTGTGGGACAGTTCGGGAGTGTGGGGGGGGGAGGCCTCCCTTTCGTTCTCATGTTGTTCTCAGCAAGGATGAGATGGGAGACCCTGTGTGGCTAAAGAACTTATCTCAACAGTGGGCTAAGGGATTTATTCTGGGAGCAGAAGTATTCTTCTAGTAGAAAATCTTATGAAAGAATTTTAGTGTTCCCCTCACACACACACACCCCCAAATTGCCACTTACTTTGATTGTGTCTCTCTTCTCCGGAATGACAGCAGTTTTGTAATCACGATGCTTTGGAAGTTTTTCTATGAAAAGCCTGGAGTAAAAGAGCAGAGAGAGAGAGAGAGAGAGAGAGAGAGAGAGAGTACTGTGTGTGTGTAACTCTATGACCACAACACCAATGCACACCCTTAAAAACCAGAAGTTCCAGGACAACTCTCTTTCCCCAGAAAACCAAAAGTCTCCCTCTTCTACCCCCAGAAGGACTGGGCATGAAAGAATGATTGGTGCAAATTAAACAATTTATTCGCACTTGAAAAGCATGGTTGTCATTCTGCAGGCAGGTGAACATGAAGCCAGGTTACTCCAAGCGCACGCTGACAGAGAGGTCAGAGCATTGGACTGCGACTCAGGAGAAAAGAACAGTTTCCCATAACACAACATTTAGATTTGGCCACAGCAAGTGCTCAAGCCATTTCCCTCATAGTCAGGGCACCCAACGCCAAAGGCCCAGCAGAACAGAAAGGCCATCCCGTGGGATCCGTCACTGAAAAAGCTCCCCTTCCTGTCCCGCCTCTGTTACCATGAGAGCAGAATCCCTTTGTTTAGTTAAAGGAGGCTGATGCGGCTGCCAAGAGAGACCAGGGCTGGACGGGTTCCACTCCGTTTTACACTTCACAGGTCCCTCGGCCGGCGCTGCCTCCTAGCAATGCCCATAAAAGCTGAGGAAGCGCCAGGGGTTCAGAGAACCGAGGGCGATGCTAATCAGGAAAAAATGTACTGAATGCAAATGGGTGTGAGAGGAAGAAAAACTGCACCCAAGACCCTTGGGGTGCCCATCCCAAAGGGGGCACAAGGGAAAGAGCAGAAGAGTGGCCGTACCAGGCCCATCTTCTTTAGGCATCAAGTACTCAGCCTTAGCTCAGGGAATTAGGGGAGGGGGCTTCTCTTGTTTATCAACAAAACATGTACAAACACACTCAACTAACAATAAGGATACAATGCATTACCACAGCATTAGCTACCTGACGGCACAGGATTTCTGTTTCCTTTTTTTTAAGCAAAAAAGAAAGGGGTTATCTCATTGCATATTTTAATAGGTTCATATACTGGGGAAGTGATTATCTGACTGTTTCAGTTACAGTAATTTAACAATGGAAGCCAAGCTCCGTAGAGTCTGACTCGTCCACTGGGATTTCAGGACTGGTGGCTTTGATTTGTGACTTTATCCACAAGGGTCACACTCCAAACACGTGCCCACTGCTTTGTGATGCTTCAAATGATGATTTTCAACATGGTAGTGGGGATGTCAAACTGAAGGCACAATGAGTGGTCCTAAACTCGGAGGGACCGCTTCTGAATCAAGAATGCAGATGGGACTACCTTGCATCTCATTAACCTGCAGGAGAGAGGGGGAAGGGCTCACATATGATTCAGGGGATTGTGAAGAAAAGTAGCCTGTGCCTCCCAGTCCCAAGTCAGAGAAAGGATTATCTTCTTGGGAAGTGAATGAATCAAGGCTCTGCAAAATAAGTAAACCCACAGGATCATTTTTGGAAAGGTACGGTAATATAACCGATATCTCTTCTGGGTCTCTGGCAATTCAGAGCCTAACGGATGATTCTTAGGGATGGGAATTTCAAGGGGGGGATTGAACTCTCAGGACCATAATTTGGCAGGAAACCCTGGGTGCGTGCTTCCCCCCCCCCAGGCTGTCTGATGGGTCTGGGGGCTGCTAAGCCACTCTTTCATCTCCCCACCATCCTCTTCTTGCCTTTGAAAGGGACCCTTCTGGACCTTTGAGTGTCACAGGGAGGCCTCTCAACTTGCAAAGGGAGCCCTTGCAGGGAGGGCTCCCTTCAGGGAACAGCACAGAGGTTAAGACAGCTGCTCTGCCCTCCTGCCCTTTGAGGGCTCCCAGACCCATAATTCAGCCTGGAGGTGGGGTAGGGTTCCTGCAGAATTATGGGACTAATTTATATCCCTAACGATTCCAATAAATCGCTAAAGCTATCTGGAATTGTCCAAAAGGCCTCAGAAGAGCTGGAAAAATCCCTAAAAGCTCAGGGAAAATGTAATGCTGCCACTGTCAAGTCTAAAAAAAAATTCCATTTCTGACGCCCTGATAATAAAGCGAAGACCACAAGCTAGCAGAAATATATGCCCACACATACATGTGTGGCTGCATTCGTGTATTTACACCTCCCAAGTGAAACCTAGAACAGGTTTTCAATCCACATAACTTCAAAGCAGCGCTGCAACCCGGGCTTCAAAAGTAATGTTTCATTCTCTGTTCACGGCAAAGATAAGGAAAGGCAAATGAGAACCTAAACAGTCAGTAACCCATCAGCGCAACTGAGGATCAATGAAGGATGCTGCAGGAGGTGTTGCACATCCCTGACTTAAACTAGGAAGTGAAGCAAATTGTCAGTACCTGGGAGATCCTTTTGCCCTCATAAATCCAGAGTACCCATCATCAAGAATCAGCTGATGAGCGCTACAGACTCACAGGTCCTGCTTAAGCACATCTAGCCTTATGGAAGCTATTCCTCAGAGTGCATATTAAGGGAAAACGGCTTGACTTTTTGTTTGCCCTTGTTATAAAGAAATCACACATCTCTGTTCATGGTGATGCTTTTGCTGCAAGGATCACGTTTTCTGCCCCGCACAGTGGAACATTTCCCTGCCTGCTACCTTGACAGTTATTGTGGCGCCCATTCTCTTTAGCCTATGGCATCACCAGTGTCAACTCCCATTCCCACCTTGCTTATGCCAGATTATAAACTTTTCAAAATAATTATTTTATACCAACTGGAGGCCAGCTAGAACCACTAAAGTGCATACATTTCTTATTTCCTTAGAAGTGTAGAAACTAACCACATCGCCTGTAAGGTGAGAAAAACAGAAGAGCAATCAATTAATCTGCCCCTAGTAAGGCTCCTTCATCCCTAGCCCATTATATGCCATTTCCACACTTCGTTACTGTCTCTGAAAAAGGAGTTGTGGAATAATTCACAAATGTTCAAATGTACATGAGGCACATTCTAAGAGGCTGGATAAATCTTTAGACTTTGATTCAGGATCCTGTTTCCTCTTACTGGACAAGGTAACATCTTTCTTCCACCTTCTGCTCAAAAATTAAGAGCTGCTGCACTTCAATCACATCACAGGTAAATGCCTGAGCTCAAACCCAGAAAGAACTCCAGTTTACCAGGCTGGCCTATCAGAATAAAGAGGCTTTTGTGTAGCTAGTGAGCATAGCAAATTTCTTACGTAATGTATTTGTTGTACAATATAAAGGCCCGTTCGATGTTGCCTTCTTCGGAATAGATAGCTGCCATCCGGATGATTTCAACACCAGAACGGAAGTACCTCCGTGGGGGGACATCTTCATTCACCTCCACATTGCTGCCTATTTGGATAAGCCCCCTAACCCGTTCTTCTGGGGCCAGGCTGACATCTGTATGGTCAGGCATAGGAGATCAGTCTGTGGAGAGAACGGACAACAGAATACATTGAAATCCTTTGCATTCTGTTAAAGCCCTGTCTGGACACCTCACGGAAACACCCAAGCCTGTCTGGGGATATTTTATTTTGCTTTTCTCTCCTGCCTTTCTTCCACACAGAGCCTAAAAGCACAGTGAGAAGTAATACTAAAACAATAGCCATGTCTACATAATCGTATTTTAAAAGCCACTAACTGTTAAACAACTGAACACATATCTAAATATGCCAGAAAAGAAGAAAAACTACAGCAACGCTAGTGGAAGCTTTTCTTCTCTCTCAGCAGGCCATTCCTTTGCGTGAAAGGAAAGGTTCCTGCTTGCCCGGGAGAAGGATATGGACTTCATAACCTTTGCTGATAAAAGAACGTAGGAGAAAATCCACTTTGTATAACGACACTCAAGTCACACTTTGCTGGGTTTTTAACCAAGGGTTAGGAACCAGCCTTCCCCGCCCTCGCAGGTGCCTTAAGAAAGTGGAAGTGGCCACTCCCTAATCAAGAGCTGCAAAAGGTCCGCTTATCAAGGAGGAACCCCTGAGGAGGACCT